ACAAAACCCCCTTCCCCAAAACCTTTACAACCAATATACATTGGGCGGTTTCAGAAAAATTTGGGGAGACTTGTAGAACTGACGTAGAGGAAGCAGAACCAGGAGAACAACTTATACAATATCATATACACAACCAACACTCAACATTTTAAAGAACTCTGCACAATCCAATGACCCATCATGCTTCTAGAGGGCTGATGATGAAACACGCTATGCAAAACCTTCTGCCAGAGTTAACAGATTCAAGATGTGGAACGAAACATTTCTGGACATGGCCAATGCAGGAATTTGTCTTTCTTAACTAGTCATTTATCCTAAAGGTCTGAGTTTTCTTTCCAGTTTTTGGGAGGAGAAGCTAGAAGAAGGCAAGGCTGCAAAAAAAAAAAAAAAGTAAAAAGAGGCCCTTCATGTTTTTGTTTTTCAGGGCTCAGAGGAGAACAGCATGAAGGTCAGAAAGAATCACAAGCAAGAAAACCTTGAAGGTTACAGGTTGAATTTATTACAGACTTAAAACTAAAAGCAAGCTTGCAACAACAAAGATTTAGTTTCATATACTTGCCTTCTGTTCTATAAATACTAAATTACATATTATCAAAGATATTGCAAAAATGTTTAAAAGTTAAAAAACAAATAGGTTAGATTTATAACAGGGATATAAGGATGGTTCAACATTAGGAAAACATTTTGTACACTATATCATAATAGTAACAAAAATCAACAAAAAAAAAATATGTTAAAGTCAGGAAAAACTAAGTCCTAGCCCTCATTTATGCTGGGAAAGCTAAAATGATCAGGAATAAAAGAAGTCTGCCTTAAAATATGGTCAAAAGCACCTACATAATATTGATAACTAATACTATTTACAATGCAAAAAACACAGTCTTACCAGTAAGATAAGAGATAAAGCAAGGAAGCTTCCATTATTATTTAATATTGCTAAAAATGTAAAGGCAATTAGGATAGTCAGAGAGTAAGATAAAGTCTACATCTGCAGATGATATTATGGTTTACTAAAAAGAACCCTCGAGATAATTTTTTTAAAAAGACCAAAAATAGTTCACTAAAAATATCTACAAAATATATGTGGGAGTTAACCTACCAAGACACCCAAAAGCTTAAGCATTCTTCACAAAAATCAGTCAATAGACATTTATAAAGCACTAACTATGTGCCCAGCACTGTGCTAAGTGCTAGAGATTCAGATTAAACAGAACAGAAGAACAACAACAAAAACCAAAGTAATAAAAAACCAAACCAGCTCCTACTGTCGAGGAGCTTACAATCTAATGGGGGAAAACAAAGCACAAAAGGAAGCTGAAAAGCAGAAGAGAGGTGCAGGGCTCAGGTACTCTTGGGAGAAATGCGATATTCTGAGCCGAGGTCTCTCCTGAAATGGAGGTCTGGAGTTCATAGCCCCACCCTCCAATCAGAGGGTGGTGATGAGACATGACAGGATGCTGGGGTTACATTAATATTGAGCTTTGTGCATGATGGAAAAATCAGTCCGAAGTCCAAAAGTAGGCAGCCAGGTGAGAAATGTCTGAGCTAAGGTCTCTTCCTTAAATGGAATCAATCATTGCTCATGTCAAAATTAAGTCACATCAAAAAATAAATACCTCATCTTACAGATTTAGTATTATCAACAAACTACCAATAATTTTTCTTTTCACATAAAACCACACAAAATTAGAGCTATTCATGTGGAACATAAAAAGTTTGGAATTGGAATAACTGGAAAAAGAGGGGTCATGAAGGACCAGATCTGGAACTATAACACAAAGCAGCCATCATCACAAACTATTTGGTTCTTGACTTACAAAAAACGAGCAAACAAACAAAACAGAGGAACAGATTAAATAAGATCTCAAAGCAAATGAACATACGAGTAGCCCAGTGTTTAATAGACCCCAAAACTCAAATCATAGGTATTATGATGCTGGATCTGTTAAAAACTGCTGATAACGCTGGAAAACTGTCTGATAGAAATTAGGGTTAAACCAGCACCTTATACCATCTACTATCATAAGCACCAAAAGGACATATCTCCTAAATAAAAAGTCGTGTCATTTTAAAAACATATGAGGTAGTACCTTTTAGTTCTATGATTAAGGAAAAACAAAGTAAACAAGTAAAAGTTATCATAAAAATAACTCTAAGTTAAAGGTGAGGGGAAAAAGAATGCTCATGAAATTAAATTTCAGTGTTATAGATTTAAAGTGTATTTAATTTTGAGACAGTAATGAGTTTCTGGGTCCCAGTCTGAATTTTTTATGTGCACTTTTTTTGGATGCAGCAAAATCTGCAGATTGTTTTTATTGTTGTTAATATTCTTATTTACATAACTGAAGCCAGAATTTAAAGTATTATTTGGGTTCAGCATCTTCTGGTTTGCATCCCCATATTTTTTAGTATTTTTTATATCTGATATTTCTTATGTCTCTATATTTCATTGCATTTCTAAACCACAGTCTGTTGTGTCATTCCATATTAATCTGACATATAGGTTGTATTTTTGCTATTATTAAAAATGTTACTATTAATATTTTATGCCAACAGGCCTTTTACTCCTTTAGACAGCTGGTTCTGAAATGACTCTCCTTTCAATAGACTTTCCTGTAACAGTAAATTTTTTTCCTCTGTGGAAATATTCAGTGCTTCCATGTCCAATGCCTTCTGTCTTATTAGAGGTGTAAACAGAAAGAAAATAAAGCCAAGTTTTTTGATGCGTTAAAAAAAAATCACTTTCCAATGAATTTTTTTCCTCACAACATAGGCCTCTCTTGTAACAGAAACACCATTAAGCAAAATAAACCGATGAAGTGGCCACTTTTGAAAATTACTACCTCACTGGCACCCATAGCCCACTACTTCCCTGCCAAGAGGAAGGCGGTGGACTTCACCCACTATTGATTCTCTTCACAAAGGATTCAGGACAAGACAAGGCTTCTAAGTATTCTAGAGAGCCTTTGGTCTCTTACTTTTTTTAATATAAAACATTATTTTCCTAAATATTTTTTTTACTACTTTCCCCATACCCACATTCCAAATGAAATAACTAAGTGACCAAGGGGGTGAGGGCGGGGAGTACCAGAAAAGGCATTACCCTTTTCCTCTTTCTCTAGCTTGCATCACATGATTCCTTTGTTCTGGAACCTAAAACTACACTATAATAGATGTTCCAAAAGTCTTAGTGCAGTTTTGAGTTATGATTTTGAGGACAACTCAGAAACCTGGCCAGTATCAACCATGTTTAAATGGGGAAGCAGTGATTAACTCACCTTGCACTTAAGCAAGGGGATTAGCAGGAAGATAAGTGCTACACACTTAGCAACCTCTGTTGCAGAAAGCGAATTAGAAGACTTCTATTAAAGAATATGGAGTTAATCAAATCTCTCTTATCCACACAAAAACAAATTTATTCAGAGTGTAGATACATTGTTATTTCAGCTGACCTAACCAAGAAGTTTGTGTTCTCATCGAAATGACAAGAAAATATACACTATCAGTCTAGTCCAGGGGTGGGGAACCCGCGGACTCAAGGCCACATGTGGCTCTCTAGGTCCTCAAGTATGGCCCTTGGACTGAATCCAAACTTCACAGAACAAATCCCCTTAATAAAAGGATTTGGTCTGTGAAACTTGGTCTTCTGGTGAAAGAGCACTCTCAAAGGCTCTGTTTGCCAAGTTCTTGAAACAAAATTTTAAGTCATCGAGCAGAACAAATTCAATACTCTTAGTGATGGCCATTCAGCCCTGTCTTTATCCTGCTACACTGATACAATTTCACACAGACTTCTTACCTTAAAATAGGTTTCATCCTTTTAAACAGCAGGACTGCTTTTCCAAAACCTAGACCAAATAACTGTCCTCTCCAAATGTCAGGGGTATACTTCAGAAAGGAAGCAAGGGAGCAAGAAGAGAGTGAATAGAGAATGTGGATGAAAAGAGTGGGATAGACCTGTGAGAAGGAAGCATCACAGGGTAAGGAAGAGCCCTGGACTTGGAAGCCAGGAGAGCTGGGATCAAAGGATGCCTGACATTCACTGGGGTGGGGCAGTAGGACAATCACTCTACCTCTTCCAGTTTGTTTCCTTGTGGATAAAAATGGAAATAGCAACTTATCTCATCTGATTATTGCGAGGTTTAAAAAACTGAAATATGCAGTGTGTCTGTAAATCTTAAAGTACTATATGTTTATCATTATTATTTGGAAACTATGAGCGACCCTCTGATAATTATCATTAGCATTTATTTGATCTTACTCCACCTCCCAACTATTCTATTATCTGTCTACTGGTAGGAATCTGAGCGATCCTTTGGGTATAGAAATAGGGGTCACTGAAGGAGGAAGTCATATGCATAAGCATGAGATTTAACTTTGTGCATGAGATTAAAAGTATTTTCACATTGCTTTGTATATATTTCTAAAAATGTAACTGTCAATAGAAAGAGCATCCTGTCTTTTGTTTGAAGTTTAGATTAATATGGTAGTAATATAATCATTCACTTCTTGAGTGATTGCTAATGACCAGAGCTCAAATAGGGATCCCCTCCACAAAATCTGCTTAATCTATATGTATAAATGCAAATTTTAAAAATCATTCCCCCCCCAAAAAAACTGATTCAATACTTTGGAAAAAAAAGAATTCTAACTACTTCTAACTTCTAATCTTAAAATACACATTATAGCATATTTTAAAATGTTTCTGGTGATCTTGGGGAAAGTATTTAATGACTCTGTGTTGACAGCATGTAAACCATGCTTTCTACCTCCATAATTTCTAGATAGTGCTTCCATGTGGCATGACCTATTTACCATAAAAACAATTCCACTAGGGGCTTCCCCTTATTTCAAGCCCACCAACACCCCAGCTGTTTATACATGGAACGGCAAATTGGAATGAAATGAAAAGATGACATAAAAATAAAGATTTACTACAAGATACATTTGATATAAATACACCAATCACAATTTGAAAGAGGAATTCTCTCTTTGCTTACCTGCCAGATACAGTGCAAATGATATAAATCGATGGTAGCGAATAAGGAACTGAAGTTGCTCTTCTCTTTGAACAAATGTAGCAAAATAATCTGCTACAGTCTCTCCATAGAAAAAGTAGTTCACACACAGTAAAAAATACCTGTAATATAAGAACTATCAGCCTATTTTTCTTTGATGAGCATGATCATCAGACACCCTCAATAGAGCGATCTTATACACAGAACAATACAAAAGAAATCAAAATAAACAAAATGTCGAAAGGATTCAATCTTTTTAAAAATTAGTCCATCAAAACATGCTCAACAGGGCTAGCCCAAACATTATGTTATGTTTTCATTTCAAGTTATCCTTAAAGGCTGGCTATTGTAATTAACATCTCACCGGTAGCACTTAGTATGGATTTTAAAAACCAGGTTACCATACAATCTCAGAGATTTCTTCTAGTTGTTTCAGTACAATTCCCTAAGAGGTACAAGGAGGAATAAAGGGGTGTTAAACTCTGAAACTGTTACCTCTCTCATGGCCCGGCTCAACTGAGTCTCTGGTCGCTCCAGCAAAGGCCCGGGCTCACTTCTGACGTCACCCACCCCACTTTCTCTGCCAAAAGAGCCCCTGCTCTAAACTAACTATTCAATGGCACTGGTTTGCTAGACTACGAACTGTTGAATTCTCTTCCCCCTTTCTTTATCCCTACATTTACTCGATCGATAAATCCTGCTATTTCTTCCTTTGGCATCTCTCTCATATCCATCTTTTTTTCATGTGTACTACTTCTCCCCAGTCTAGTTCAGCTTTTTCTTGATTATTACAACGGTCTTCTAGCCTTCCTGCATTCACTCTACATACATAACTGTGAGACTAATCTTCCTTAAACACCATTATTACTGCTTCAAACTTTAAAATTTTTTTTTAATTTACTTTAAAAAATTACTGCTTTAAACACCATTATTTGCTGTTCAAAAACCTATGCTGACTCCCAGTGCCCAACGTGACAAGTCTAAATTTCTGGCCTTCAAGGCTCCCAATAATCTGACCTTCATATTTTTCCTCCCAAGATGTGCAGTGTTACTGTTCGATACCCACAATGCTTGGCTGGGTTCACACATACCATGCCCACTGCTACCTTCCTATCCAGGGATGTCCTACACCTATGGAAATCCTGCCCACCTCAAGTCCTGTGCTATTCCTGAAGCTCTCACTATTCAGGCCCATATTGTTCTCTATGAAATCCTATTGTGCTTAGATATAGGACCACACAATTCGGTACTTAATCTCCACCCCCCATGCCCAAACATGTCCACAAAGTCTCTATTAACTTAACCAGAGATCCATATGAAGGGGCGGTGTTTCATTGAAAGACAGCACCTTACCAGGTACAGAGCAGACTCAATAAATACCTAATGATTGACACAGCAGTGCCTCGCTAATTCAGGACAATGAAATTATGTTAGGGTTTATAAGGAGCATTCTCCTCTTTGTATCAATGGCTACTGCTGAGATTGAAATTTACTCTGTCTAGGGCATTCAGATGGATGGGCTAGGTACTGCATGTTGACTACCCTTTCTTACACCAGCAAACACAGAAAAGGGCCCTTTCTTGACCCAGACAGCACAGCTTTCTTTAAGGATTGGTAGGAGATGGTAGAAGCCACCTCACTACTGTGGCAACGACAGCTCGCCATCCTTTCCTTACACTTCCTCTCTGCATGAGAGGAAATCAGGACCACAACACTAACACAGCACAGCCAATGGAAGTCACTTCCCATAGTGGTTTGACTTGCTCAGTCATGCTAACAGTCTGAACCCCTTTAAAGTTATACTATGGCAACACTGACTCTAGTGATTTGACCATGTTACTTTATATAATTCTGTGAAAGAGTTTTGATTTGGCACAAAAGTCCAACTGCAGCTTATTTATCCAGCAAATATGCTTCTCTAAATTTTATGAAGGTCAAGTGAAATAACAAGAGTTGCAGCTTTGTGATTTAAAATGGATGTGGAGTACTGAACCTCATTTCCTAATCAAGTTAACTATTTTACAAATAGTTTAAAGGAAGAGGAATATCTTTGTACATAGACTTAATATTAATAGGAAATCTAAAACACCACACATGACCACACAATGTATGATTACACATAAATTGTGTAATGTTAAAAGTTGGCAAGTTTTAGAAACATTAAATTTTGCTGTCTTTCAATTAAGTAGAGGAAAACAGGGAAGTGAGAAAGACTACAGACAATGTCAGTGACAAGATTATTGTCTCCAGATGAAATATGGACTATGAAAAGGTGGTTTATGTGAATTGAATGAGTTGGAATAAAGGGCCTAATAAGGAGTGACAACAAATGTTCTTTAAGTAGAAGAGCAGCTCACATAAATTAGAAGGTTGAAGGGGTGGGAAGGAGAAGACTAACAGAAGTTGAAATGAGAAAACAGAATTGGAGCAATGAAAGAAAGAACCAGGTCAAGACGGGGTAGGGTGGGGTGGGGAAGAGATGGAGTGCACCGAGAAAGGCAATTAAGACTAAAAAAACTGAGAGTACATTCATAATCAGGAATGGACTTTACTTGAGAAAATCAAATTCTCAAACTGATCTCTTATTGTGATGATAACTCCCCTTCAATGCATCATAACTCATCTAAATGTCTGTCCATCCTGTGCTATTGTCCATCTATTCCTCATCTTTGCTCAATATTACAATGACATCAATAGAGCTGCCTATTAGCTATCTCTTATTCTTGCCTCAAATAACCTATTTTCTTTTTCTCTCATACATGCTTTAATGGCATCCATTGGGCCAGTTCTCCTTTTTGATTGCTTTCTGTAATATGTTAGTCTAGTCACACCTTCAATGTCTCTTTATTGCCCTCTGGGGCAATACTCTCATATCTAATTCTTAGAAGACCATTACCTAAACAGCTATAAAGCACTGGGAAAATGTAGGCAATGAGAAGATGGGTCTTTGTTTCACAGAAGTGTGAACTGAAGCAGAGCTCAGCTGCCTTTGATAAAATTACAAAATACTCTGCTACTATCTAGCTACACATTTGGTAAAAAATACATCTATACACACACACATATCCTTATTTATGCACTTGTGTACGTGTATGCACATATACACTAATGTTCTATAGTTTGTCTATCATAGTCTAGATAAAAATCTTCATCCATCTAAGTTTCCAGGGGGAATAGTTATATCAAACTTGAGTAGTACTCTATCTCATTCAAAATGCCTTCAATGTTTGATGCAATCGGTACAATGTCACTTGCAAATGAGAACCCCTGAAGTATCTCACCAACTAAATGGAATCCTTATTCATCTTGAACTCTCAACTGGATTTCCTTTATGAAAGTAAACATTTGTTTATTCTTCCCCTTATCTGTTACTGATAATCAAAAAGTTGAACTATTCTCTATTTTTTTATCTTCTGATGAATCTTGTAAAAGTTTGATCTATGCTTGAGAAACATCTTAATGGAGAACCTTTAATGTGGCATTTTGCTCTACCAATCAAATGTTCTCTTATAGTAAAAACCAATTAGCATAGTGGGATCTCATATTCAGCCAATGCTGCCACAATAAAGGTTTGATTTGTAGAATATCACTTACGAAGCCTGCCTATCTCTTTCTAATATCTAATCAAGGATACTCTATTATTCTCACTAAAATTTTATACAGATGGGAAAGTGGGCATATATATAGTGGTTACTGGTGTTCTTTAAGTGGCTGATTTTGGTTAGTAATGAGACATCAGATTTTTCTATCCCTTTGGTATCCTCTTCCTTCTCTCTTAAGAACTAATCTGTAATGACCAAATAATTGTGTTGCCTCCAGCATGCATCTTCTCCGTATACATTTTGGAGAATATAGTTGCCTTTTCTGTCTTTGTTCCTTTCTATTCTATTTCTGTATCTTCTACAGATATGTCCAGAAATGTGATTTGAGAGTCAAGTGTAGAGGTTTCAACTGTCCTTGAGAGTGAAAATGTGTTATGTTCACTGGTCTCTTTTGAAGTGATACTAATAATTTTCCACCATTCTTTTCTATAAGATTTTACAAATGAATTTTATTATCTAAACTTGTCTTTCCCTTGGCTGCTATCTCTCTACTTAGCAAGTAATTCAAGTATTTGACTTGATGTAGTTGTTAAACACTTCTGTTTATTACTATGGTACTTGATTTACCATTAAACTTCTGTATGAAATCACTATAATTGGTATTGATGTCCATTCTCATCCCATTCTTATAATGTATTAACTCGATTAAATAGGTCAGGTAGAAACTGCTTTATGTCCCATCTTATTTTCTTATTTATATTAATTGTAATCTTTGTTCTAAGGAGCTGGTTCTCTAACTCTACACAATTCATTCTGGAATGATTCCCATGTTGGTAAGTTGTATCCTATTAAAACAGGATCAATTTTTGTTATGTTACCTGTTGCTTCCATGTCCAAAAACTGAATTTTTCTCAAAGAAAGTGCGCATGATGTAGAAGCCTATGAATTCTGGCTATCCTGCAAGTATTTGACATTTCTCGTTCCTTACTCCTGCTTCTGCAATTTCCAACACTTCTACCGTTCCCATCTATTTCACCTTTGCACTGAAGTCAACGAGTATCAATGCATATATTGCCTTAATTCAGAGGGCTGCATTGAATCCTTCACCCTTCCATTCTCTGGAATTCATTTGTGAGTAAGCTGCAATTACTTTCATGGTGTTCTTTTTGTTGTTGCTGCAAACACTTATCATAAGCACTGAAATGTAAGATTAACCAAATGTCCCATGAAATGGTGCTCCTAAAACCAACACTGCCAGCTCATCGGTCTCTTTCGTAAGAATCTTTGAGCCGTCTTTCTCTCTAACTGGAGCATCGTTTTATGTTATGGCTTTGTTTATGGGGAGATTATCAAGTCTCATAAGATCCAGATCCTTTAGTCTTCTCATTGATCACCAGACAAGGATCTCACATGTAGAGTACGGCAATAGTCTGAGTTGTGGTACCCTTCCCCCTTGCCCACCACTGTCACTCTACTAGTGGAAGAGGGCCACAAAGCACCATTTGGTATTTTTTTTTCTTTCAGTGGGCTGCCATGCCCACGTGATCAGTAAGCCAGCCTACTGAATGAAGATGAGCCTTTCTGTGCTTAGCTAGGTTAGTCCTCAGAGTACAGTCTATTGTTGGAACCATACTTGAAGTTTTTCCAGCATGACAGAACCTGCCAGGGGCTACACTGTGCAGACATAGCCTTCATTAACTTAAGGAGGAGGCAAGAAAAAAGAAAAAACACCAAGGAAAAGAGAGATGAAGGAACTGTATCAAACATATCTTTCCTAGCTGTAATAGGCTACAATTACTAAAAGTAAAAGGGACATTATACCTACCTAACTTTTCTTTTTGTTTACCAGTGATATAAGATAAACTAGGACTTTGTTAAGTCACTTAGAAGACAGACTTCAAGTTTACCATTTTTTTTTAGCTTGTCCTTCCACTACACCAGACTGTTTTAATAGAAGATCAGATATTTAAAGGTGCTAGGTTATCAAACTGGCCAAATTCCCAAAAATTACTGTTTTATTTCCACATTCAAAGGTTACAATCAATCACTTCAAATTTGCTATTCACTCCTCTATCATTATAGGAGTGATCAAACTATTCTTTCTTACATAAAATTTTTTTCAACTAGGAAAAGGTGAGGGTCAAGAGTATTTATTATTTTGAAGCCATGTGAACAATGATAACAGAACATCACTAATTAAGAAACAATCCTTATGAGGCAAGTTTAAAATGTTAACATCTTACGAGCATACTTAACTTGGTGAATATTGTATACAACATTTTGGATATCAGTACATCATTCTGAATTACAGGAATTGCTTCTTACCTACACTCCATCAACATTTCAAAGATTTACGATTTTAGCAGAGTGGATAATTCCCTCAACCAAGGTAAAACACAATCCACTTCAGTACTTACATAGATAATCTTTGTCATTTGTTGTGAGTGACCAAGTTTGCCACGTGATGGTCAATCACCCGGCCATACGTCTCTCTAAACTCAGCTAAGTTGTTCCTTGGTCAACAAAGCACACATCTAGGCCCACAATGGAATCATTTCCAACTTCATAGGACCTACCAGAATTTGTGCTGTTGGCACAGCCTTGAGGAATCAGAGCCTGACTCTTCATTATGAAGAGGTATTGGAGTAAGACCTCAGGCTTACTGAAAAAATCAAAGGAAAATCCAGGAAAAACTCAAACACCTTTAGTATTTAATAAATACTAAGGAACTGAGGTTTGGCCTAGTAATCTTTTCATGTCTCCCAAAGTGCAGACAATCCTTTGCCACAACCCAGATACACGTATATTAAATGATAGTGTCAGTTCCTAGATTCTGGATTTATACAATATTCAGTTTTTCAAATAAAAAAAACTTTAGACTTACCAGCTTAGTGTTCTAAACCATGGTAGTTCATAAGAACGATAGACTCTATAGCCAATTGTAATAATTTCATGGAAGCATTTCACTTGGATGCCCAACACCTGCAATTATGAGAAAGACATTTTAGTTGACATGATGTCTAATACTTAACAGTGTGAAATCAGAAATACCACCCAAAATTAAATATTTTAAAATTTCTCCCAATATTAGAAGTAAAAATTTTTATGATGATTACAATAGGGATAAGAGTACGATCTAGCATTTATATTGCACTTTAAGGTTTGCAAAGCCTTTATTTATTTCATTTGAACCTCACAACAGCAACCCTGTGATTTAGATGCTATTATCACTCTCATTTAAAGCTGAAGAAATTGAGGCCAAGAGAGGTTAAGTGACTGGTCCAGGATTGCAGTTATTAAGTGTCTGAGGCAGAATTTGAATTCAGCTCTTCCTAATTCCAAGCCTGGCACTGTATCTGATGGACTACTTACCTGTTCTCCACTTACTGTGGTTGGAAACTATTATTACTGAATACTTGCAGTTTCACAAAATTTCAATAATTTGATATGAAATTCCAGGAAATGATTACTTCCTAAGGAGTAAATAGACCATTCTCTGTTCTTAAAGAGTACAATGGTCCTACGTCAGGATGAAAATATAGCTAGTATTGGGGGCAACTAGATGGTGCAGTGGATAGAGCACCGGCCCTGGATTCAGGGGGACCTGAGTTGAACTCCCACCTTAGACACATAACACTTATTAGCTGTGTGACCCTGGACAAGTCACTTAACCCCATTGCCTAGCCAAAAAAAAGAAAGAAAATATAGCTACTATTGAAGAAACAGCTTTATTCATGGAAAGAACTGGTATTTTCTAATAATCAAGACAGCTATGAGTCGAGGGTGTGATTAAAATTTCTCAGCTTGGTCTATGAACAGAAGATTTCTTCACCTTCATAAAACTGGTATAAACTTCAGCCTCTGTACACAGTAGTTTTATTTCACTTAAGTTATATTTTTTCCTTTTTTTAAATTTCTGTAGTAAAGTTTTTTTTTAATTCTGTGTCTCAACTGAATTGAGGAATTAAGAATTTCTGTCCATACCTGGACCATGAATTGTCTAATATCCAGGCGGTCAAGTATGGGCTTTGAAAGAATGATGATTTGGGGAAAAAAAGTGGGGAGCAACTGTTTAAAATTTATCTTTCTCTCTGTGCCCCCCTTCCCTGCTTGTTGGGGTTCTTCAAAGCAACTTCTGTAGTCTATTCTTTTTTACTCTAGGCCAAACCAAATAGGATCAGCATAGAACAGAATACATATTATTCCCCCTCACCCAGCCGCCCACCAGGTCTACAGCAAAAGCTAATCTCCAAAGCCATTTCTGTGTTCGATAACAGTGGTTCAGAAAATTTCAAACTTCATCCTAAGCTCAAAAAAATCATAACTTTTTTCCTCTTCCTGTTTTGACCTAATGGGTATGTGGGGAAAAAATGTTGTGCAATGTACGTGGTACTCAAAATGTTACTGAGTTTTAACCACGTCACTGCCATCAATAGTGTGTCAAACAGCAGAGTGAAGCAGTAAGTGCCACATACTGTCTTTGCTGCAGTTATTTAACTCTGCCTTTGTAATGTGAAAGCAACTATTAACAACCCATCAATGAGTAAGCATTGCTGCATTCCAATAAAACTTTATTTAGAAATGTAAAAACCATTCTTTGCTCACGGCCACCAAAAACAGGTGGCTGGCTGGATTTGGCCTGCAGGCTGTCTGCCAACTCATATTCTAGAATACAATCTCCACATGGGCAAACACCATGTCACAGCTAAACTTTTAAGTTTCCTAAAATGTCTCTTACACTGTTCTGCATACATACATACACACACATACACAGCACCTGATTAACAAATACTTCCTGAATTTACATTGCTTGAGCACCATATAATACATACCACAACTTTCATAGGCCTCACTCTCTCTACTTGTAAAATGAAGATGCTGGATTATACGACCTTTTTCAGCTTTAAAAGTCTATGATATATCCCTGTTTGACATTAAACATAACAAACATTTAATACAAAGAAGCACAAAAGAACTTTAAGAATGTGATTATCCGAAAAGCCAGTAGACAACCGAGCACTAACACAACTTACTACTCCCTTACTAACACAAGTACACAACTGCACTACCAACAATGGCAACAACTTTCCACACGAAGTGGCTAGTTCCTAGAGGAATAGTCTGTTTTGGACCCAACACAATAAAGTCTCCAACTGACAGGCCAGGTTCTGTATCAAAATTGGTTTGTATATCAGATGTTAACATTCTGAATGCATCTTTACCCCACAGAAAAGAAGTTAATGTTATATTTAACACCTAACACACTATATTTGCAATGAAACATTTAAAAATGCTGTCATGATACTAGAAACTTAAAACATAAAAAGTATTTTAAATCAATTTTTGTTGTCTTATGGTGCAACTGAGACAGTACGCGGCACTCATTGCCACGAGTGGCACAGTCAAACAGGATGAGAAGGTATACATAGAGTGTGAGCTATGATTGGAACACCACATCAGTGAGATCACAGATCTGATAAAGTCTCCAAGTATACAAAATTATAATACAATTATAAAGATGTTGCAGTAAGAAAGACACCTATTCTCCCTGCCAGCACTACAGGCCTTTAACACAGATTAACATCCAGCTGATTTCATTTCCCAACAGTATGACAAAGTATAGGCCATAACAATCCTGTAAAGAGTATGAGCCCGGCATATCTCATCAAGATACCATAACACACAATGGTTTAATATCTTGCTCAAACAGGTATTGGGATTACCTTTCTTGAAGCTCTTGCCTCACATAAGCATAACCATTTACATGTGCTGAAAAACAAAAGTCAGATTGCACATAAAATGTATCTAGCAGACTTACAAGAAGCATCAACATAAATGTTCCCATGTAGATGATCAGGAAAAATAATGAAATCATAGTCAGAGTAAGAATTCCACGAATCCACCAATTTTTCCACCTGTAAAGAAAACATTAATAGTCACAATTTAATATGTTCTCAAAGACATTACTGTGGTTTTTTAAGCTTTAAATTCTGCAAGAGCAGGACTCTGACCTAACCTATTATTTGTAATACTCCACAGTACTTGCTAAATTAACTATTACCTCTCACAGTAACCCGTACCCAACAGCAATAGGAAAAGCAAGGAACCAGGAGATCAAGAAGTCAGACTGGTTATTGATACTGATAATTAAGTTGCTGAGTCAAATTATTGATTACTTTTGTCATGCCCCACAGAATCTGCTCAACTTTTTCCTCTCTGCAAACCCCCAAATAAATTCCATATTTACAGCAGATGCAGAATCCTATTTTATCAGAATTGAGGCCATATGACAACCACTTTAACTCTCCTCCCTCCAGTATCAGCACCCCACATGCTTTGCCCCCTTCCTTCTCCCAGAGGAAAAGGTATCACTATTTTTATCTCAATCCCCAATTCTATCCTTGCCTGCCTTTCCTAGGATTTTGCTCCAACACTCATCTCCTCTCTATCATGCATCTTCAATCCCTGTGGTCTTGTTTGTGCTTCTCACTCTCTTTCTTACTCCTTAATGTTTTTTCAGATTTCCACAGTCTTTAAAAAGCCCTTACATTGAGTCTTCCACACACAACACAATGACCATCTCATCCTCTTTTTCATACTCAAAAGTTTTCACCATGACTCTTTCCTCCCTTGCAATCTGGCTTTTGTCTCCACTATCTGGTTCCTTTTTTTTTTTTTTTTGAGAGAGAGAGAGAGAGAGAGAGAGAGAGAGAGAGAGAGAGAGAGAGAGAGAGAGAGAGAGAGAGAGGGAGGGAGGGCAGGCTTAATCACCAAATCATCTACTGGAAACTCTCCTCCTCCCTTAGCTTCAGAAACACCACACTTTTCCTGGCTTTTCTTACTTATCTAATCTCCATATCCTTGGCTGGCTCCTAGACTCCTCCCTCTTCCACCTTTGCAAACCCTAAAGTGGGTACATCCTCCATGATCTATCCACAGACCCTCTTCTCTCTCTACATTTGCTCTCTTAGCCTTATTCATTTCCAAAACTTTACTGATCATCTTTACATAAGTAATTCTGTATCTCTAACCCTGAATTCTCTCCTGAGCTAGACTGCAATTTCCAGCGGCCAACAGGACATTTCTGAGTGCCTCCCAAACACCTCAGGTTCATCATTTCCTAAAACAAGTTTATGTAGTCTTTCCCCTTACTATGCCTGCTCCTTCTAAATTCACTATTTTGGTCACTGGAATAATCATTTGCTCAGTCTGCCAAGTTGAAAATCCTGTGCTTTTCCTAGCACTTTCCTCTTTCTCCTCATGTATCCTATCAATTACAACAACAAGAGAATAAGTCCTTTTTCTTCACTCTCTCACATCCATCGCTTTTTCTCTCTTCCCTCTGGTACTGCCACAGGCCTTATCTGAATCATTTCAGTCGCCTAAACAAATTCTTTCTGCCTCCACTTACCCTTCCTATGATCCATACTCTGTACCAGTCAACCATCTTCCTCTAGCTTGCATATTCAAAATTCAGTGGCTCCTTAGTGCTAAAACTCCTTTATTTAGAATTCATGTTCTTCTACATTCTGACATAGTCTTAGACTATTACTATTCTCTCTCCAGTCTATGCCCTCCATCAATCGACTATTTAACCATCAATCATAGACACCTTACACTTTTTTACCTCAATGCCTTGGATTATGCTATTCTCTTTGGGCCTCAAAAGTCGCTACCTGCTGCATGTGTATATATCCTTTAAAGCCCATTTCAAAGGCCATCTCATTTATCTTAGTAAGCTTCCTTGATCCATCATACCCCTAGTCATTAATAACCTTCTGTTCCCCAGTGCCCAGAAAGTACTCAGCTTTAACGCTGCTATTTAAGATTTCAGCTTATAAGATCATTCACGGAAAGGCAAGCACTCTAAGTGGATGGGAATACAGGCTATGTGAAAAAACAGTACGTGCATGATGGAAAATGCTATACACATCCAAAGAAAGAACTATAGAGTTTGAATGCAGATGGAAGCATACTATTTGCTATTTTTTCTTCTGTTGTGTTTTGTTTCCTCTTTCTGGTGGTTCTAATTCTTACTTACAACATGGCTAATGTGAAAATATGTTTAATAGGAATGCATATCCTATCAAATATAGCCTATATCAGATTGCACGCCATCTTGAGGAGGGAGACAGAGAGGGAAGGGGAGAAAAATTTAAAACTCAAAAGCTTATGGAAGTGATTGTTGATAAATCAAAATAAAAAAAAAACAGAAAAGAAAAAAGAGAATGTGAAAGATGGTACAAAGATAGGACAGACTGTGAAAGGTCTTCTACACCATGAGTCGAAATGTCAATTGGTAGGCAAGAGTTTTGAAGGGCAAAGGAACATGAATAGATCTGGATACATCAGTCCTAGTGACTTGAGGATGTATAAAGATTAAACGGCCTGCCACGAGTCATACAGTTACGACATATCAGGTGAGATGGAAATTCAGATCTTTCTGATTGTAAGGCCAGCACTTTATCTTGAATAATTGGCCATAATGATCTCCCAATAAAAAGAAAGGACCTGAACCCTAAAGACACCCCTGTTAGTCACCTGAAGAGACATGGCTCTTGGGCTGCACTATCCACTAGGTAGTCACTGTCCCTAGGGGAAAACCCCACCAATCTGTAATTAAATCCCAAATCAGGATACCCCATTAGCCTGGACCTACTGCTGTCAGGAACCTTAACCCTTGCTTAAATACTGTTAAAAAAAAAATCAAGCTCAGGTGATCTACTGAGAAAAACTGGATTTACACACAGTTGAGACTCAGTGCATATCTTTGAAGACCACAAGTGAGGATTCTAGGGTGATGGCACCAGTAGTTTCCAGCTTCCTTCCCCCACCCATGCTCCAACTGCCCTGATGCAGCTTCCTGGTCAGGGGGCATAAAGGATCTGAGCTGTGCGCAGTTAGTGCTTCCCAGAGATGGCAGGCACCTGCCCCTACTTTGATGACTGACTAGACATCTGTAAGTAAGGTGATTTTGTTATTCTTTCTAAGATAACAATTCCCAATATCCATGGCCAAAACAATCTCTAGTTCTCAAGATCATAGACAATAGTTCCCCAGCTCATGGCTTGTAAACAGTGAGATATAGGGATGGCGCTTGCACTGTGCTAACTTATGATGATATTGCTAAAGTTAACCTGTGAGCTTATCGTTGGCAAACTGTCTTTTTTGTGTGCTTCTCTATAAATCAAGAGAACACTGGTCAGTCAGTGGAGATTTTGGGGACGCATAGGGATTTATGAATGTGCTTTCTTCAACCGGCCCCCACTGAGGGGGGAGCGCACTAGCTGGAATGCTGTGTTGCCTTGATCGACCCCCATCATGGCTTAGGGGAACCTGTAGGAGCTGTGCTCCTATATTCTCACCCACCCCTGCGAGAAGGGTGATTGGGATTCCTATAGGACTTGGTGCTCCCATTATCAGGAACCCATTGAGATAGAATACTAAGAATAAAGCAAACTTATTTCACCCCTCTGAAGCTGTCTTCCTGTCCTTCTAGCTGCCCAAGGTGGGGTCTAAAACCTCCAGGGGTGCCTCCATCTGCCTCCTGTGATACAAGATCCAAATGGAAATGGGGGGAAGGGGAGTTTGTGTCCAGAGCACCACTGCATCCTTTTTGCAAATCCCTGCTGCATTAGGGCAAAGTAAACCTCCTCCTTTTTAAATGTTCAGGGACTACCCCGTATTTCATCTCAGTATTAAATCTGAACTAAGAGGGTGCTGAGGTTAGAGCCACACCGAGAGAGTAAAATCACTGATGCTGCAGTTAACCAAGATAGCAAAAACAAGTCTTAGAAAGGCAGGGCATGCAAAAAAGGCAATGCTGAGGATGGCTCTGAGCAAAAACTCCCAGGGCCTAGGATGGATACCCAGGACCTGGAATCAAAGTAGCTGCCTGCCAACTGGGGAATGGTTAAACAAGTTGTGGTAAATGAATGTAATGGAGAAATGACTGTGCTATGAGAAATGACAAATGTTATGATTACAAACGCACAGACAGACTTGCATGAACAAAATGATTCAAGAAAACAACGTGCACAATGATCACAATAACATAAATGAAAGAAAACCGACAAACAAATAAAAGTGAATGTTGTAAAATAACAACAACAAAAAAAAAAGCACAGCCCCAAAGAGAAGACTGGAGATGCCTCCTGCTCCTCCTCGTGCCTTTGCAAAGTTCTACAGCAGTCAACAAGCGCCAAACACTGCCTATGTTCTCAGGGCTTTTTTAAAAAAAAGTATGTAAGATGGATTTTGCTGAATTTTTCCTATTCCTTTAACAAAAGTCAATCAATAAATATGCTGGCTTCCTGTTAAATAAAGCACGAAGAAGCCAGTCCAACTTTCCTTCCCCATTGTGGTACTCTCTGTCAGTCTGTCCTCTGACAAGAGGTGGTTCTCCCAATAATCAGTATTCTGACACAACAGGAATACAAATATTATCAAGTGCAGTGGGTTTTTCACCCTCAATGAGAATATTATCTTAAAAGAGTAACAGCTAGTTTTTCTTTTTATTGAAAAAAAAACATCTTAAAAACCAAATGCCATTTTCTTTTTAATTTGGAAAAAGGCATCTACTATTTCAATGATATTTTATCCATGTCAAGGAACTGAGAAATGACAGCAACATGCTTAGAAGTTGTTTTGCTTCTCTACCCCCAAGCTCCCCAATCACTTGACATTTATCTGACAGGCAGTTTTGACAATAAAACTTGTTTAAATATCAGAAGCATATGGGAAAAGTATGAAAAGAACAAGATGAAAATTAAACATACAAGTTTCACATTTGAATTGATTTGAAAGAGAGAAGGGAATTGACAACACGCCACAGGGAAAAATATAAAAACTAACTATACACAGGGGCATTCAAATACTTCACCAGAAAATTTCTCGGACCCAAAATGAAATAGTAATTGAGCTGAAATTCACTGGTTAACTTTAGAAGAACTAAAGTGGCTTAGGTTGTAAATCGAAGCAGTAAAAAAAAAACTCATTTTTATTTAACACATTGCAAGGCTAATTTATGTTACTCCTCCGAGTGAAGATTTATGAGAGTTTCAGTTAAGTGATAAAAGGAATTAACAAACTATGTAGGGAGCTGGGAAATGGCCTACCATTCTGAAAAATCATTTGAAATTAGACTAGAAAAGCCACTAAACAGTATATGTGTTTTCTGATACCACCATTAAACATATACCTTTTTTTATCGAATTTTTTTATTTTTTTGGAGAGGCAATTGCCCAGAGTCATATAGCTAGTAAGTGTTATATGTCTGAGGCCGGATTTGAACTCAGGTTCTCCTGACTCCTGGGCCAGCGGTCTATCCACTGTACCACTTAGCTGCCCCAGTATATACTCTTAAGGAGGGGAAAAAAAAAATCACATCAAAGATGCCTTACGTACAAAAAAATCTACATCGGCTTTTTAAAAAATGGTAACAAAGAACTGGAAGCAAAACAGAGCCTCATCAATTAGGATATGGCTAAATAAATTATGGCATATGAATGTGGTGTGCTGCTGCTCTGCCACTGAAATGTTTATTATTTCATTTTTATATATGAAAGCTTTAGAGAAATGTGGGAAGACTTGTGTGACCTGATACAGAAAAAAGAACAATTTATATAATATCCACAACAACTTTAAAGGAAAATAACATAAAAGACGGTAAAACGTTGATCAACGCACTGGCCAGTCTTGCATCTAGAGGAATGACAGTGAAGCAGCACCCATGCCCCTTCTAGCTGGGATCATAGGCCTTTGCTGCAAAGTGAGGCTTACATGGATGGGCAGGTCTGACCAGGGCTGGGTAGTTTTCATTAGCTGTGCTTTCTTTTTCTTTTTAAACACTAGTGAGGATTTGGGGCAAAGACACAAAATACAATTATGATGATGACGATGAAAAAGCCTTTTTTTCAAAAAAGCATTGGTCTTAAAATTTAAAAACATACATAACATGGCTATTAGCCATCAATCTCTGTTATTGTGACCTTGGGCAAAACGGCTGAACCTCTCTAAAGTTCAGTTTGCTCATCTTTAACATGGAAAAGCAAAGGACAGAAAAAAGAAGATGGAAAGTGATATTTTAATAGTCAACCCAATGCTTTGAATTGTAATATGAATGGACTGATTCTGTTCAGAGGATGAATCAGTTATGAATAAGTTATGATTACAACTATAAGCAAATTCCTTTTGCAGAAACAAACCTGTTATGCAAACCAAAGTGAAGTGCACTAGTATTAAACATTTATTTAATCATACCTTGCAGATAAGCCAGACAGAGCTTTCTTAAGCACTTCAGGGGTTCTGTCTGAGGATGGTGGAACTTCTGGAATGTCAGAATCAGTTCTGGAATCCAAATCTCCATATTTATCATCAATATCAGTTTCCTAAAAGGAAAAAAAAAATTAAGTACATACTAGAAAATTGGAAAAATTGGAACTACAAAAAGGAGCTGATGTTCAGTTACTTATATAACCTTAACAAAAAGAATAGCTATGAATTATCTTAGCTAGAAAGTAGTTATGTTATGAAAATCTGATTAGCACCCACAAGATGGAGGACTAGACATTTTCTCCAATATTAATGACCTTTTAAATCTCTCCAAAGTAAAATTATAGCAAGAAGTAAGGCAATTGCACTGTCTCCACAGTCAAAGAAGACACCAAGAAACCTAGTTTGGTAACTACCCAATGAACTAACAGCAGATAAGGTTAATCCCACACCTCAAATACATTCCATTCCCTCAGCACCCCAACTCCCATGTTCTGGCAGGACTACACAAACCAAACCAAAGACGTGCAAAAGAACTCAATTCTTCCCTGCATCCCTCAATCCTGTACAGCAGAGGTAGAAGAAATATAACATAACATAGTAGAAGCTTTCTCTGCATGGAACAGCAGTTTGTACCTCAAAAAAACCCCTACAGATTATCTTCACAAAAAAGCATATACTGTAGCTCCAAGCTACGTAGTAGTTATTAATACTTAATAATTCCAATGACAACAAGACTTTCAAATATAAAGGAAATTTGAATAGTACAAGATTATTTTGCCCCTACCAAAAACATAGAAGATAATGGATATGTTCTGGGGAAAGGAGCTCAAGATGAAATTCAAGATGATAAACCCAACAAACCTAAATCTACTTCTCAATGAAAAAAGATGTTCAATAAAAGAAATATTTGAAGCATTGCTATAAATCAAACCAGACACGAGAGAATTATTTGCTTTGAAATCACCCAAGACAACAGAAATACAAGTAAGGCACAAGCAAAATTATATTATCCCAGGGTGGGGGAGAATGGAAAGAAAAAGATGGTCTCATGGTGTTAAAAACCCACCACCAACAAAATAACAAGAGATTTCATTCTAAAAGTACACAAGGAGAAAAGAAAAAAAGCAGACTTAAATTGAAGAACCAATGGTGGCAGAACGGGCTTTTTGAAACTCCACAAATTAAAATACCTCACAACATGTACCTGCAAAAGTGACTATTAAGGTTTTTCTGAGACTAAACTGAAGAATGAGAAAAGAGGAAGAAGTTACACGGTGTTGTAAGTGAAATAAGGTAAAGTGGGGAAACAAAGTCCAAGAAATGCTATTTATGGGCACAGAATGAGGTTGCAAAACAAATCAGTTCCAAGGCACCTCAGTAGTCACAAGGACCCTGAAGAGAGATTCATTCACAAAGGTTTTTATAGTAAAGTATAGTTACTATTTTTAGATTTTAGGACATTCCAGTGCTTGGTGAGGCTAATTGGTTACATCCACTTGCATCCGGCAAGCCAGCCAGTTAGAGATACAATAACAACTGATTTCCTTAAAATGACATGATTTACAGAAACAACTAAAATTAGCTCAGGGACATAAAACTTTAGCAGTTACATAAAATGTCAGTCATGAAACAAAATGGAATTAATTTAATTCTCTCAATGGGACAGTGGGATGCACCCTAATCAAATCAAAAGTAAATGAAGAGAAAATAATTTCTGTAATAGCTCAGGAAGAAGAGCATCTATAGGAGGATAGGATAAAATGGAGAGATCAAAACAGAAAAAGAAAGGAGGGGAAAAAAATTGGTAAGGGAGAGGGTCCCACTGAGGAAAGTTCTCATGGAGCAAAAGAGATAAGTCTATAATAGGAAAAAAGGGGCCGTACACTGGTTACCATATCCTAAGATTTAGTGCCTAGACTACAATCTCTGGGAGAATGTTGTGCCTTCATGACAGCATCCTGTCTCAAGGAATTAAGAGTTTCTGGGGGCAACTGACAAGTAGAAGAGTGGGAAGGCATGAACCCAACATAGAGATTTCACAGCAAAGGGAGAAAAAAATAATCATTACTGGTACAGGCAGTAATAATGAACTGTACAATTAGGGACATATGAAAATTTCTGTAGTGAAACAATGCTTGAAAAAATGGGAGAGGCAAGAGCTACAAAGCAGTAATAGACATTGTTTAGAAGAGGGAACTCAAAGTGGATACCTTAGAAGCTTTATTTCAATAAGGAATGAGAAAACTAAAGAAAGGATAAAAATAAAAACCATGGATCAAAGAGTACAAGTCTAGAACAGACAGGAGAAGAGAAATAATGATGAGAATGAAGGAAAGAAATATTTTCGGAAAAAAGGTACAGAAAATGAAAATGAAAATGAATAAAAAAGGAAAGGGAAGAGAGGAAGGGAGATTTTACTTGGCTACTCAACTAGGAGATGAAAAAAAAGGGGAAGAGTTAGATAACTACATTAAAAGGAAGAAAAGGAATAATAAGCAAAATTTCAAAATTGGGAAAATGAATGACACACAGGAGTGGAGGGGCAGGGGTTAGGGTAAGGGAAAGAGAGCCAGTAGGGTACGGAGTTACAGTAGATTAAGTTAACATAATTGAAGAGTAAAAGTACTGTCTTTACAAAGGAAAAGGAACAGTGAAAAATCTTAATTCAGGAAGAAAGGTTAAAGACAAATGGAGGAAAATGTAATCATAACTTTTATAACTTTAAATATGAATAGATTTAATAATCTAATAAAACAAAAAAGAGAATACAGTGGTTACAAAAACAATGCCACAATCTATTGCTTACAATATTCATAACTAAAAGGCAAAGACATATAAAATATAAAAATGGAAAAAAATTTATTAACCATCAGGTGAATCCAAAAAAAGTAGATCTTATAATCATGTTATCAGACAAAATAGAAACAAAGATTATAAACAAGGAAACTACATTATGCTGAAAGGATAAACACACTAATAACAATATTAAAATTAGAAGCTCCATATGCCTTAGCATCTAAATTTATAAAGGGAAAATGAACAGAATTACAAGAAGACAGAGACAGAAATAACAATAGTGGGAGGAGATTTTAATATTCCTTTCTGAGTTTTCAATAAATCAAAAAGAAAAATAAACAAAAGGGAAAGTAATGAATTGAACAAATTGCTGGAGAAACTAAAGCTAAGACTTGTGGCATTTTTAAAATGGCTCTGATAAAGAATATGCATATTTCTCAGCACCATATGAAACACTTAAAATGGACCATTTATGAGGCACAGAAACAGTGCAAATAAATATTAAAAGGCAGCAAAGTAACAAAAAACAGACTGCTACCACATTGGTGTTGGCCTTTATCAGCTCATACCTGTATTGCTGCTATATCCTGGCCATAGGATGATGCTGCCCACTCAAATCCTTCCTCCAGTCACTAAAGTTATTTTTCTACTGAACAGGTATGATCATGACTCACTCACACACACTCACACACACACACACACACACACACGCAACACCACACCCCTTCAACATTGCTATTGGCTCTAGGGTCAAATGCAAAAACTCTTTTGCATTCAAAATTTTTCATAACCTACGCTACTCCTACCTTTCTGTTCTTCTTATATGTTACTCTCCACCATATATTCTTCCATCCAATGATGCTGGTTTCCTGGCTGTTCCAGAAACAATACCCTCCATCTCTCTTCTCTAGGCATTTTCCCTGGCTGTTCCCCATGTCGGGAACACTCTCCTTCCTTGTTTCTGCCTTTTGGCCTCCTCTGAGTCCCCACTAAAATCTCATGCTCCAAAGGAAGCCTTTCCCCAACCCCCTAACTCTAGGGCCTTACCTCTCTTTATTACTTCACATTTATTCTGCGTACAGCTCGCCTGTACATATTTGTTTACATGCTGTCTACCCCTTTAGATTCCGAGTTCCTTAAGAGCAAAGACTATCTTTGGCCTGGTTTTCGTATCCCCAGAAATTAGTGCAGTACCTTGCATATAGTAGATGCTTAACAAATATTTACTGACTGACTGAAATGGAGTCTCAAAAATGGAATTCTAAATGAAGTCAATGGAGAAATCAAAACAATAATTATGTGGAAGTGAATGATGATGATAAAACCTAGCAAAATTTCTGTGAAGCGGCTAAAATAGTCCTTGAAGGAAAATAATATCCCTATACATATACCAACAAACAGAAAAGAATTAATGAACTGAGTAAGCATTTTGAAAAATTAGAAATGCAACAAACAACCCTAATTTCAGCACAAAAGGACTATTAAAATGTACAGGAAAGGGATAAACCAGAAAACAAAAAAAACCCTACAGAAATGATTAACAAAACTAAAAGCTGGCTCTTTGAAGAGTAACAAAATGGATAAACCTTCAGCCAAGTTGGTTTTAAAAAGCAAAAAAATCCAACTAACAAAACAGCAAATAGACAAAGCTGAAATCACAAAACCTGACACATTAAAAAGAATCAGAATTTCTATGCACAGTAACATGTGAACAAAACTGAACACACGAGTGAAATAGAGAAGTACCTTCAAAAACTAAAAAAAGACCAAATAGAAAGTTTAAATAATTCTATCTAAGGGAAAAAAAAATTAGCTGTAAAGAGCCTGGAGGCAGCTAGATGACTCAGTAGATAAAGCATTAGGCCTAGAGTCAGGAAGATCTGAGTTCAAATCTAGGACCTGACAGTTCAAATCCAGCCTCAGACACTTAACTAGCTGTGTGACCCTGAGCAATTCACTTAACCTGAACTGACCGACCTAACAACACTCAGGACACAATTAAATTTAATCAGTGTTATTAACATTTTCTCCATAACTTTCTTAAGCTGAAACAATCAACAAAATAATAAGTCAAGTCCTAATTTCTAGCATTTGCTGATCTCTATGTTATAAATGCTTACATTGAAAACTAAATAATTAGGATCCCCCAAGGCAGTATACTTGGGTAGATTAATGAAAAAGACTAGAAAAGAGAGAGTCAGAAACAACGGAACTCACTCCAGCATAAACGTAACATAACAACAAGTGAAAAATGTTCCTGGTCCTGATGGATTCACATCAGAGTCCAATCATCTCACACTACACTATTACATTAATCGATGTAGGAAAAGCCTCTGTCTGGGAGGGGGGACTAGGCAATGAGGTTAAGTTACTTGCCCAGGGTCACACAGCTAATAAGTGTTATGTGTCTGAGGCCACATTTGAACTCAGGTCCTCCTGACTCCAGGGCCGGGGCTCGATCCACTGCGCCACCTAGCTGCCAAAGGAAAAGCCTCTGTCAAAGTACAACATTCATTTAATGCTAAACAAACCAAAAAAAAACCCCAACCCTACAAAGTACAGGCACAGGGAGACCTTTAAAAGAAAAATCTCGTATCTACCTAAAATCAAAAAGCAATGAGTAAAGCAAGAATGCCCACTCTCCCTAATATTACCTGATACAGTTTTAGAAATGCAAACAATAAGACAAAAAAAAAACTGAAGGTGTTCATCACTCTTTCATCTCCTCCCTTTCCCGGCTCTACTCTAGCCGGCCCAGACTGCTTCCTTCACCGTAGCCTTCTCACCCCGAAAGATGCTTTTGCCTCTGCAGGTTTCTCATGCGTCTGCATCCCCTTTCGCTGACTGGCCGATTCCTCCCGGCACCTGCCGAGGCCAGCAGCGCTTCTTCCTTCATTCTCTCTGAGGAGGTACATTCTCTCCCCCAACAACCATTTCTCAGCTCTCTTTTGTGTAGTTTATGTTGTGCTTCCCTATTAATATTGCAAGTTTCTTGAGGGCAAGAACTGATTTGCATTCTCCATGCTTAGCATAGTAAGCTCTTAATAAATGTTTGACTTTAATCAATGTAGTAAGGACAGCAAAAGAAGGCATAAAATTGTCCGGTTTTGCTGATGACATGATGATTTAATAGAAAATTCTAGAGAATAAGCAAAGAGACAATGTTGTCAGTAAGGTTACAGACTACAAAATAAACCTTTAAAAATTATTCAAAATAACCACAAAATGCATCAAATATTTGAGGATCTACCAAAGCGCACAAAAACCCCACAGATTCAATTACTTACAACACTATCCTTAAAGACAGAAAGAAATCACATAGCTGGAGAAACGTTCAATGCCCGTGATTGGGCCATGCCAATGTAATAAAAATGGTAATAGTAACAAATTTATACTTTTAATGCTATATCAAACTACCAAAGGGATACTTTACAGAAAGATAAAATGACAATATTCATTTTGAGAAACAAAATGTCTAAACTATCAAAGGAAACAATGAAAAGAAAGAGGGGATAAATGAGACATAGCATTTCTAGACCTCAAACTACATCATGAAGCAGCAGTTATCAAAACCATTGATACTGCTTTAAAAATGAAGAGGTATATGCACCGGACATGCTAGTAAATGTTTAACAACCAGCTCTCCAAAATACTCAGGACATAATTAAATTTAATCTGTGTTATTAACATCTTCTCCATAACTTTCTTAAGTTGAAACAATCAACAAAACGATAAATCAAGTCCTAATTTCTAGCATTTGCTGATCTCTATGGTATAAATGCTTATACTGGAAACTGAATAATTAGGATCCGCCAAGGCAGTAGTGCTGGCTCCCACATATACCTGGGTAGATTAATGAAAAAGACTAGAAAAGGGAGAGTCGGAAACAATGGAACTCACTCTAGCAAAAAATGTAAATTACTCAGACAAGAATTCCCTATTTGACAAAAAATGCTAGGGAAAACTAGAAATCAGTCTGGCTTAACGTCTTAAACCAACACTATGTGTGGGATGCCACTCAAATAAAAAAAAAAACACAGAGGTATCCAAGGAGAAACAGAAAGTTAATTTATTATTATATCAAACCTCGAGATTTGGGTATCCCTCTACCAGAATACTCTGATGAAAGGAGACACAGACAGAAGCAAAGGACCTGATTATATACCCCCCTCCCACCAACTGGCCAATATTTGGCTCACACTCTCAATGTCCATAGAAACTGAAAACAAAACAATGAACACAATATACATATCTACATTTCTTAGTTTGCTGAAGTAATACCAAAGAAGCAGTTAAAGATGTGCAGTCAAGCTAGACACTGTACTGTATAGTCAGGTCACCACGACCAAAAGATAGCAACAGGTGCATCAACAAAATACAGGGGGGGCTTCTTCAGGAGTTTCAGGCTTGGCAAACTTTAACTACTTAACACTGGCATGGGGGGGGATACTTGGGGTTGAATTCCCGTAAATCAGCTGATTTCTAGTAAATCGCTAAGAAGTTTTCACAGGACCCTCATCCCACTCAGCCTTATCCCAAATCTTTACACTGAGGAGTCTTCACTGGGACATCCCATTCAATCCCTCCTCTTCTCTCATACTTTCTGAAGGCTCCTCACAGCTAACCATTAAATCTTAATAACCATCAGGGTGGTCTCAAACTAGCACCCAACCCTGACCCTTCAGAACCATCAGCTTGATTTCTCCTTTCCCTTCCATCCTAACCAAAGTGGACAAGGAGTCTTGCATACAGGGGAGACACACCAAGCAAGAGTAAGACAATGATTCCCCTCAAATTTTATAATCTAAAAATTTTAGAAACACAATACAATTTAATGTTGGTAATACAAACAATAAACTTCTCTTTTTCTTCTCTCTCTAATCATTACCCCTTTAAGTAAATGTAGGAACAATTGATCTAAGCATTGACAAATCAAAGGGGCAGTCCCTTTACAGATACAGACACAGAAACCCAAAAGAAAACAATAATGAAAAGGCCCTTTAAGATTCAAAAAAAGTCTTTTCTTCTACAGCTGTCTGGCAGAGAACATCATCAGTGAAGTCCTCTTGTCCTTGGTATTTGTTCCAGCCATCTCCAGCACAGCTTCTCAGCATCTCCTTCTTCTTGTAGGAATCAGCTTTCTGTCCATTCTACAAAAGTGATCTTAGCACAATTTTAAATTACCATTTCTAATCCTTATAACCCTGATCATTTTTACAAACTCAAAACTGAAATCATGGCCAATTGTCATATTTAAGAAATTCACATCAGAACCCAGTATCTTATGCTTTACATTAATCCATTATTAATTTCCTTACCAGGGGGATGAGATTTCACTAAGGTATTAATAACAGGCTCCAATACACACATATCAATGTTTAACACAGTACATATAAAATCCTAAACTTTTAGTCATGCCATGTTTCTTTGATGGCATTTACAAAATAAACCACAAGCCATTCTTCTTTTAACATTATTAATTGTAACAAAACTTTAGACCAATATGATATTATCCAAATAACAAAAATAACATACTCACAAGCCCCTAATTATCTCCATACCATTATCAAGAATTAAAGGACCCTAACTCAAAAAGGAACACACACTGGAACACTAGTCCCAGTTCTATAGTAACCCAAGATGTTCCATTATCATTTTAATAAATTTGTTACTGTACTTACAAAACCTTCTAATTACAGAAACTAACTCCAGGATCAGTTGCTCAGACAGCCTTCCTTGATATTTATACCTGGAGTTAGACTCAGAAACAGTCAGTCATTAATCCCATTAAGTCTTTGAATAGCAAGTTCCAGCAATCAGTTTAAAATATGACTATAACCTCACATTGCCTAAGGAACATCTCTAAAATGATCTCCATAGCTTGCATGCATTTCCACTCTTGTTCATAAAAGCTTACTAAGTTGATGCAAAAGTCCTTGAGTAACACAAATTCCAAGGTATTATCAAGAAACTGAATTCCTAGTTATCACAGAATCCCTACATATCACAAAACTCCTTGGTCAAAAAGGTGTTGTAATAAAGTCTCACACCGGTAACAGTAAGAGACTGACTACAGAAAAAAAAAATACTACTGCTCTCAGAATCCTTTTAAACAAAGGGAACATCTCAAGGTGAGTCTTAAGCAGTTTGCATAAATTTCTGCACATGTTCTAGTTCTAGATAAAAACACACAAAAAAAACCTCATATCTTATACGGACTACTTGCTCTGATCATAGAAACTTAACACAGAAGGAAAAAGAGCAGGGACAGGTGACATATCAAATATGACAGGATAAAACATCCTTAGCTTTGTTTAAATTCAGACAGAGTCACACTTCTCCAATCACGCAGGATCTGTTTTTCCTCATAGCCAGACTCAGGAATAGTCAGGTGGGAAACTGTTAAGAGTTAGAAAGGCTTATGTTTCCACAGGTAGAATAATGCAGAGATTTAAAGAACAAAGGTCCCAGGAGGTGGCACACTGTAGGTGGGCTGGGCTTGACCAATAGGAAGTAAGTGGATTGTTCCAAGACCCCAAAATCAAGATAGGGGTCGAGCCAGCTCAGACCAGTTAGGGTCAACCTGAGGACACCTGAAAAATGTTAGTGTGCCTGCTTAATGAACTTCATTAGGGTCAACCTGAGGACACCTGAAAAATGTTAGTGTGCCTGCTTAATGAACTTCATTACTATTATCTGACACACCCCGTATAAAATTAGAGCATCATTAACGAGTCATGGGACGTATGACCAAGGGAGGGGGAACATACTTGAGCATATCAAGGGGAAACATGTAAGGAAAGGTGTAACCTGGGAAGCGATGGACCAATCCTGGCCTGGGAGGTTTCTCGCCGACTTCAACTGCATAAAAGCACACTTGCCCTTACACTCAGGGCCCACCCCTCCTGAAGAGGGGTGGAGCCTGCTTCTGGCCAGAAACGTCTAAATCCTCTGGACTTTCTTTATAATAAATTTTCTTGATACTAAATTTTTGGTGTCAAGTCTATTTCTAACAGAAACATTCCTTTCCAAAGGAACACATTGGGAAACTGAGCCAGGAAGATCCCATCCTAGATTGAGACTAAGATTGTCCCTTCATCCTTTTCCCAAATTAGTCACATTTACCTCCACCTGTTACCAATACAGAATCACATTTCACTGGCATTTCTCTCAGATACTGATTTTTAATGCAGACGGCTATAGCCAATTCAAACTCAAAACTAGTTATAGTCCCAAAAGCCTTTTACCTCAAACAGCAAGTTTCACTAATCTCAGCTTAAAGCCAGATGCAGTTAATTTTGCTCTCATAGAATTGCAATAAGCAATAAAAATTTACCAGGACTCACATACATAAGAAATCTCACTTTACCTCTTTTCTTCTCAAATTTAAACTTGTCCTGTACAAAAGCCAATCATTAGAAATCATTTCTACCTATTGTCCTTGATGACCTTAGCCCAGGGATCTTGGCAAGTTTACAAAAATAAGGGGGAATTGCCATGTACCCCAGAGAGGGCTGATATTGGTGCCACAATCCCTTTTTTTACACATACAATAATTAATTAACCATCTTAGGTTTTAGCATTAAAACAATAACCCCAAATAACTTAGTTAACAATCTCACAAATTTCATAAATAACAAAACAATTTTAACTAAAAATTCAAAATGCCCCAATAGCCAAATTCATTCCTTTTTCTCTTTTCTCTAATTTCACAATTAATTTAACATTCCAGATTATAAAAGAAATTGCCCCTTCCAGCAACACAACTAAGACAATTGACCCAAAAAAATCAATCTTTCTTTCTAGACCCCTTCACCAGGTCCAGCAGTCTCCTGGGGCCACTCCCACCCCTACAGACTGGCTTCTCTCTCTCTCTTTTTTTTTAATCTATGCTAACCCATCATTGTCTTTTACCGGTCTGATAGCCCCAGACTACATCCAAATTCCCGATTAGACCTCAATGCCATTCCCAATCAGGGTACTTCAAAGCCTAGACTTCCCCACGACCA